TCTCTCTCTCTCTCTCTCTCTCTCTCTCTCTCTCTCTCTCTCTCTCTCTCTCTCTCTTCCTCTCTCACTCTTTTTCCCTTGTTGGCGGGTCTTCGACAGCCCAGCGTCGCGAGGGCTAATACGACACACAAAACATCGCGCGCGTTTCTCCTCTTTTTCCGCTCGTCCATGCGGGATAAAGAGGAGCAAGCTCGCAGAAACGCGAGGAGGATGTCGAGGGAAGCGCGCGCGCGCGCGCGTGCTTTCTCGCATACCGTCGATGATGTCCGTCGTTCGGCAGAGACCACAGAAAGAGTGCCTCGGGAAAGTTCCGGCGAGGGGACTCCCAATTTCTTGCTGTACGAACGACACTTGCTCGGAAGTCGGTCCCTTGAGAATTGCGTATGGAGCAATAAACGGTGCGTTTCCTTTCTCATGGGGATGGTTCGCCGTGAAAACGTCTCGTTGGTGAAACGAGCGAGGAAGGTGATGTGCAAACGATGTGGTAGAGTCTAGCGCGCGAGCTTCGGCGGTGGAGTGGACGTAGAAGAAGAAGACAGGCGAACATTGATGAGAGGAAAGATCACGATGAGATCGCAGCCACGCGACCGTCCAACGAGGAGCGGCGATAATGATGGCGATAATGACACGATGAAAAACGTTGACACTGGCGCACGACGATCATCGTCGTCGTCGTGACGCGTCACTGCTCTACATGCCAATCGGCGGTACTTGTACATAGCGGTATATGTACAGCCGATAATCCTTACTGGCCAATACGACCGAGCCGTCGTCCATTAGCGCCACGTCGAAACACTGCGCGTGCTTGACCTTACTCTCGAGAGCCGAGACCAACTGGCCATCCTGCGTGAAGATGGTCAGGTTGAAATTGTTATGATTGTCCGCTATTAGTATTTCGCCATGCGTGTTGATGCCCACACCGATCGGATAATTGGTGATGCCCTCGCCACCGATCTGCCGTAAGTAAGCGCCCTCGTAGTTGAAAACTTTGACACAATGGGCACGATTGTCGCTGATGAAAATCTCCTGTTTATCGTTCACTACTACGCCATTCGGGAACTCGAGGTGTTTCGAGCAGCCGAACTTTTGCAGAACGTTGCCAGTCTGATCAAAGATGATGACTCGCATCACTTTGCACTCCACGACGACGATTCGTCCCTTCGAGTCGACGGTGACGCCGCGTGGATGTTGAAGAATGTTCGCACCAAACTTGCGTACAAACTGACCGTACTGATTGTAGATTTGTATCTGATGAGTCGGCGAACGTTCCGTAACGATAATGTCACCGGACGTCTTCACGACGGCGACACGATTTGGATAAAGCAGCTGACCATCCCGTTTGCCGCATTCGCCGAACTGAAACTTGAACCTGCCCTCTTTGTCGAAGATCTGAATGCGATGATTGTTCGTATCGGCAACGATAATGTCGTTCTGCGCGTTTACCGCGACGCCTGACGGCTCGGTAAATTGACCTTCCATTACGCCGAACTCGCCGAATTTACAATGGTATATCATCTTTTGCCGTTTGATCTGCGATTTAGGTGGGAATATTGCAGTGGCGGACATCAATTTCGAGGTCAAGTCAAGGACGGAATCGCCTGGTGCGGCGTTCGTCGCTACGGCTACCGACGGCATCGCGAAGTGATCGTTCGTCGTCACTACTGGATAAGTGTCACTACCTCCATTGCTCCACTTTTCGTACGGATTGGCGTTCATGCCGTTCAGATTGACGTCGCTAATCGTTGTGGAGAACGGGCCGAGGCTGTTGGCCGAACTAAAGCGTTTAGAGATCACGGTACTGATGGTGTCGATCGAGGAGGGTGACGATGACGAGCCGCAATTCATGCTGGAGGAGATCAGGCCGTTGCTGTAAGTCCGATCCAAAAGAAGTCCGCCTAAAGAGTTCGCGCCGCTTATGGGTCCGTTGCTGATGTTACTACCGCCGCCGCCGCCGCCGCCGCCGCCGCCGCCGCTACCAATGCCGTTGCTCGACAGAGCGGTAGGTCTCGCGATAGGAGGCTGCTTGCCGATCGAGCCAGCATTGTTTTCGCTATTGCTATTACTTCGCACGTAACCAAAGGTGTTCCTTACGCCCACTTGTATCGCCTGGTAATTGCTGACAAACTCGAGATCCGCGGTCTGATTGGCTATATCCGTGGTCGGTGTGTAATTGAGCAGTGTCTGGAGCTTGGATTCAAGGATCTTCTTAACCATAAGAAAGTCGGTGACGCTAGTAACCTTGGTTACACGTTCGACGAAGTCACAGGTCTGCATCATCTTGTCCGCCATTTCGTTGGCTCGCTGTCCGAGCACGTTCAAGGAGATCTGCTTCGTCGAGAAGACCGAGTCGAGCTCCTTCAGCAGCTCCTGCTTGCGTTCATCCAGCATCGATTTGTAAAACAGGAAAGTGTCGTTGATCTCGTTCTGCGCCTTGTGATACTGCACCTGTAGAACTGCGACATTATGATCCGCTGCTTTGACCGCCGCGCGCGCATCTGCCGCCTTCGTGCGGCACTCCTGGACGATCCGTGCTAACGCTTCCATCTGCTGCGCACCCACATCCGAGACGTGGGCGCAGTCATGCAACGGCGCCGAATGTTCCGTCAACGTGCACTCCTTGCAGATAGGCAGATTGCAGCTGCGGCAAAAGTACTTGATTATCTCCTGCTTGTGCCGCGAGCAGAAGTGTATCTTCTCGGCGTTGCCGCCGTTGTTGCTGTTTCCGGTGCCGTTGATAACCAAATTGTTACCACCACCGCCACCTCCGCCGTTGTTGCCGCCGTTGCAAACGCTCTTAGGCAATTCTGTCGTCGAGGTGATCGTGTTACCACCGCCGCCTCCGCCACCGCCGCCGCCGCCGCCGTTTCCACCTCCGCCGCCGCCGCCACCACCGCCACCGCCGCCGACGGTCTCCAGCTTGGAGTCGGCCAGGTTCAATACTCGGTGGCCCTCAAAGCAGAGCATGAATTGATGTGCCATCACGCAATTTGGACAGAGAAATTGATCACAATCGTAACAACGCGCTACTGCGCCAGCCTCAGTAGACTTGCAGCCGGTACAACGGATGCGACTGGTGCCACCGGTGCTACCCAGCCGGCAGCGCGGGCACGGATCCTCGCCCGATTTCGGTGCGTCGAGGCACAAGTCGCAGCTGTCGACGTCGCAGATCGCCGAATCGCTAGCAGGCGGCGAGCTGCCGCTCACCGTTACCGGGGACAGCGAGACCGGGGACCCGAGGGAATTTGCGCGCGATTCCAGCGAGGGTGTCGGCGAGGCCATCTTCAGTCAACCGGCATCCCTGCAAGCAGAAAGACACCGATATTTATATTTCGCATGTCCTCTTGTAACAATATCAAGTAAAGTATCACTATAGTGGTACTTGGCATAGTAGTAAAGTATCAATATATTTTATTCACTAATTCAATAAAAATTAATTTAATTAAAAATAAAATTTAATTAGTCTAATTAAAGATAAGATTCTGATCAAAGATATTGGCAATCGCTAATTGTTTATGATATTAAATATTTTCATATTACGACTTACATGACTCTTTCTCTTTCCATAATTTTCCATAATTTTAATTTTCAAATGGATGTGTAATTAAAATATCATTAATTATTATGTCAATGTAACAATGTAGTTGTTTATATCCATATTTTTTTTATGTAGGACACGCTTTCACAAAACGAAATTTTTTAACAATGGCATTTTGCTAAGGGTGATACAAATTTATTTTCATCTCTTATTTTGTCCACAAGAATTTATAGTAATGAAAAAAATATTATTTAGTAGTCCCATCGATAATACTGATTTTAAAAAAAAATCAAAAGTTTAATCGTTGCCTTTTTTCCGCGATGCTAATTGATTTCCTCTTTTTACTCATTTCGTGCCAGTTATCAGCACAAAGATCGTATATTTATATATCTTTCATATATGTAATCCACAATTGTCATCATAGATAAATATGTTATACATTGTAAAACCATTTTATTTCATATTTTCTTTGAGGTATTAACCAATTAAATATTAAAGATGTTTGATTATGTAAATAATTTTCGTCACATAAAAGCTGCTCACATACAAAATAGATATATACATAGTTGTAACAGATAGTTGTAACAAATTGATAGACTCTGAATTTTATATTTCATTAAAAAATATGTATAATACTAGAAAACAAATAGCGCATGCGCAATACGTAGTCTAAAGTGTTTAATCTCCTATAATAATAATAATGCAATAACGTAATATTTAACTATCGGTCGTTTCTCGAGAGGGAGACAGCTGCCGTCATTGCAATTAATCGTTATTACGGCGTTTCTTATCTTAAAGGTCTCTTTTATTGCGATTCCCACGCGCACGTCTGGCGGTTACCTTTCCATCTCCTTCCCTCCTTCCGCACCTCCGAGGCGCGGTGGTTATTCGCGCGGCTCGCGACGAGCAGCGGAGGCTTCGCGGTCCCTCTAATTAAATCGCTCGAGTCAGACAGCCATGTTTCACCTGGCAGTCAGAAGAGAAGAGAGATCGGCCAAGCGGCTGAAGGAAAGGGAACGACGCTGGCGGCAAAGGAAAAGGAAGAACGAGGGAGGACTGGAGTCTATAGACCGCGAGTCCAAGGTCACGAATGCGAAGGTTATCGTACCTCTCTCCCACCCGGTCGAGCAAATTTATCGGATACCGTGCGACGACACTCGCTTTTCCACGCTCGGAAGGAGGAAAGGAGGAGGAAGAGGAGGAGCAAAGAGAAAGACGTGACGCCGAGAAAAAGGAGAAGAAAAAGAAAGTGAGGAATAGAGAAAGCATTTTTCAGCGTGTCGAGCTTGTCTCGGATGAAAATATCGTTTCTCGGAGAAACATCGTGCTTCAACTTTATACTCGCGTCGTCAGCGCAAAAAGACTTGATAAAGAAAATAATGAAAGTTTTTTTCCCTTAAAATCTTTATTTCAGCTTGTTTCGCATTTCTCAGCCGAGATGAGCGGTCAAGAAACCGACCAACGTTATTAGGAGCGCGAGTCAACGTGAGAGAATAGAAACGAGACAACGAAGCCGCAAAAGAAGCGGGAGAGAGAGAGCGGGGGAGACAGAGACAGAGAGAGAGAGAGAGAGAGAGAGAGAGAGGAGGGGAGGGAACGAACGAGAGAGAGAGAAG